TTAACTCGGAAGGCACTCATTCCACCTGACAAGAACATGGGTCAAGTTCTCTCACCGTTTTGGAAGTGGAGGGAATGGATGACAACAAGACCCCTGAGGTCTGGGACTGGGAGCTGGGCTTGGACTTTCTGGTGATCCACTTCTTGTATTCTTCTCGCACCTGGAGACAGAGACACATAGTGGTGAGATGAATCACTCCCAGATGGAGGGACATGAGTCTGTGCAGGCATCTCCCGTGGAGGGGTGGGAAGGGGAGAGGGAGGCAGCATGTACCTGGCGGTTGAGCAGACAATGGATGAGGAAGATGAAGGTCCCCTGCAGGCTGTTGATGATGGTGAAGAGGTAGGCCATGAAACTAGCCATGGGTCCAATCTGGAAAATGCCCAGGACCCAGGAGCAACCCAAGATGAAGAGCTGGGCAAAGGCCTTGAATGTCAGTAACCTGGGGGAGATTTGTAAAGGATAAGGTCCTAAGAGCAGTCCCTGGGTGGTGCAAATGGTTAAGGGCTCAACAACTAGCCAAAAGGTTGGTGGTTCAAAGCCACTCAGAGGCACTTTGGAAGAAAGCCCTGGTGACCTGCTTCCAAATGGTTTGAAAGCCCTACGGAGCACTTGCACTCTGCTTTCATGGGATCTCCATGAGTCAGAATTGACTGTGGGGCAACTAATAACACACCACGGTTCTGGGTGGCTGGTGGCTTTCTTGTAGGCCATCCTCCGAGCAATACAGTCTGTGCCTGCCACCAGGTAACATAGCACCTGGGTGGCGATAAACACAGGAAAGAGTCTCCGATGGCCCTAAACAAGGATACTGAATCCTATGGACATTTCAAAGGATTTGGCCTACAGCTGTGCATGGGCACAAAGATGTGTGCTGTTGTTGTTAGTTGCTGTCAAGTTGGCTCCAATGTGATAAAAGATGAAGAAACTGAAGACTCCAAAGATTTCATTCTACTTGGATCCATAATCAGTGCCCATGGAAGCAGCAGTCAAGAAATCAAGTGAGGTAATGCATTGGGAAAATCTGCTGCAAAAGACCTCTTTAATGAATGTCTGCCTAGAAGATTGTGCTTTTTTTTTTTTAAAAAAAAAAAAAACTATGTGGGATCAAATTGACAACAGCAACTCACAAAGTTTGATAGGAATCTTAGGAGGCAGTGAGTTTTTGTTAATGGTGGTGGAATGGTTTGCAAGGGGAGGGTGAGCATGGTTATACAACTCGAAGATTGTCATCAATGTCACTGAATAGGACATGTAGAAATTGTTGAATTGGTGTATTTTTTTTTCTGTGTATATTTTCAGCAAAGAGCCCTGGTGGTACAATGGTTAAGCATTCAGCTGCTAAAGGAAAGGTCAGCAATTCGAATCCCCCCAGCACCTCCTTGAGAGAAAGACCTGGTGTTCTGGTTCCCTAGTGCCGCTCTGACAAGAATATACCACAAATCGGATGGCCTTAACAAACAGGAGTTTATTCTTACACTTTGGAGGCTTTAAGTCCAAGTTCAGAGTGCCAGGCTCTAGGGGCTGGGTGAAAGCCCCTCAACCTTGGGGTCCAGCTCTGCCTCCTGCTCCCGGCCCACTGGAGCTAGAGGCGTTTCTTCACTCAGACAGCTGCTGGCTGCTGAGGCTGGAAGCTCCAAGGTTGACAAGTAAAAAGGCACAGTTCTGATGTTACCAAACCACACAGCAGGCCATTAGCTTAAGTCCATTGTAAGTCTCAAGGTCGGCAGAGCATAGCAGGCTGCTGAGCAACGACACAGCTACGTACAGGGTCCAAGCGTGCCATAGGCTAGAGACCATTCTCAAAGCTTCTCCTTAAATATAGGAAACAGATCACATTCCCAAAGGCAGCTACTCAGCTGCTTGTGGTAGATCCCACCATGGAGGTGATTGCCAACCACCAGCTGCCCAGCCATTCAACTGGGCCCAGCCAAGTTGACACACAAACATAACTACCACACCTGGTGATCTGTTCTCCCAGAGATTAGAGTCCTGAGAACCCTATGGGGCTGTTCTATGCTGTCACATGGGGTCGCTAACCACAGCAACATATTTTCAATAATGACAATAAAAATAAGTATTTTTAAATGACTTCTTTAAAACCTTAAAAAAAAAACAAAGAAGCCACTTTGAAGACTAAGGTGTGCTACACCCAAGCCATGGTGTTTTCTACCACCTCCTATGCATGCAAAAGCTGGACAATGAATAAAGAAGGCTGAGAAAGAATGGACACATTCAAATTGTAGTGCTGGTGAAGAATACTGAATACACCATGAACTGCCAGAAGAATGAACAAATCTGTCTTGGAGGAAGACATGTGTACACACATATTTAATCCAATATTGCTTCTACTATTGAAAGAGAACAAAGACCCAGATGCCTAAACTATGGGGCAGGTTCAATGAATGGTGCGAAATACCCTGAAGCCATTTTCAAAAATAAGAGTGATGGATATGCTGTAATAGGAAAGGGACCAGGCTTTGAAAGGTCAGGCTGCCTGTGTTCAAGTTCTGACTAATTCATTAACTTTGTGGCCTCCACCAATAAATGGGGATAAATTTAATGGCAAACAATTTGCTGTCTATACTAAAAGCATTATAATCCAAGCTACCATCTGACTCAGGCAATATCACACTTAGTGTTACCAGGATTAAACAACCAGAGATGTGGAAGGATGTTTACCTCTAAGGGTATTCAAGGGAGTCTTGCTTACTGTTGTGGTTGTTGTTCTGTGTTGTTGAGTTGATTCTAACTCACACTGACCCCATGGGACAGAGTAGAACTGCCCCACAGGGTTTTCTAGGCTGTAATCTTTACGGGAGAAGATCATTCTGCAGAGCTACTGGTGAGTTCCAACTGTCAACCTTGAAGTTAATTGGGCCACCAGGGTTCCTTATATTGTTTATAATAGCAGAAGACACAACTGTGGCGCGGTGAATTACTTAATGTGACCTTTCTAGCCATGGTCTTTGTGACTCTTACCAAATGACTGGGTGAGACTATGCAAATGTGAGGTGCTTGTCACCCACCA